CTGCTCTCCGCGTGGATCAACGAGCCATCCATCTCGCCCTCCGACGGCGGCGCTGGCCTCACCGATCCTCTGGACATTATCCTCGCTGAGATGAATCTGCTTTAGTACTTTAACAAATCCTTTTATGTCAGTAACCATGCTCATGCTTCGCTAGCATAGACTGCAAATGCCTTCTCCAAGATGGCCAAGCCCTCATCGATATCCGCCTTAGTCAAAGTGAGTGGTGGCACAAAACGCACGACATTTCCTCCAGCCGTAATGATGAGCAGGCCACGCTCGCGAGCCAACTCTACCAAACGGTCCGGAGACTTGCCAAATTGCACACCCAGAATCAAGCCTTTGCCGCGAACATCCAGCACCAATCCATTCTCGCGGTATGGGGCCGTGATACGCTCAAGACCTTCACGCAAATATGCGCCAGTCTCCTGTACCTTCTCGAGGAAGGTTGGCTTAGAGATGCGAGAGAAGACATGGTGGCCAACACGGCACGCAAGTGGGCTTCCTCCGAAAGTGGTACCATGATCGCCAATCTTGATTACATCGGCAACCTTCTTGTTGGTGACGATGGCGCCAATAGGGAAGCCGTTAGCGAGTGGCTTGGCAGATGTGATGATGTCTGGAGCAACACCATTGACCTCGGCAGCGTGCTGGAAGCCCCACAGCTTGCCAGTGCGGCCAAGACCGCATTGGATTTCGTCAAAGATGAGCACAGCTCCAACCTCGTCACACTTTTGACGCAGCGCAAGCAAAAACTCTGGAGTTGCAACGCTCACACCGCCTTCGCCTTGAATTGGCTCCAAAATCACAGCGCAGGTACGCTCCGTAATTGCAGCAGTAGCTGCATCGATGTCATTGTAGTTGACGCGGCTGAATCCGGGAATGAGTGGCTCAAACGGCTCACGATACTTTGGAGTGGCAGTTGCCGTCAAAGCACCCATGGTACGGCCGTGGAACGCACCCGTAAAGCACACAACTTCGTACTTGTCCTTCGCATCTGGCTTCGTGTACTTGGCAAACTTGCGCGCAAACTTCAGCGCACCCTCATTCGCTTCAGTACCGCTGTTTGAGAAGAACACCTTATCGGCCACAAAGGCGTCGCCAGATGCGTTTGTAACTTCAACAAGCGCCTCAGCCAAGTTGCCAGCCCATTCGTTATAATAAAGGTTGGAAATGTGGCCAAGAGTGCTGGCTTGCTCGGTAATGACGCGGGTAACACCCTCGTCAGCGTGGCCGAGAGCGTTCACGGCGATGCCAGCGGTGAAGTCGAGAAAAGTGCGGCCGTCGGCATCGGTGACGCGAGAGCCGCTGCCCTTAACGAGCATCAATGGTGGACGAGAATAGGTGTTGATGAGGTATTTGGACTGACGATCGATCGCTTCGCGCGCGGCTGCAGATACCTGGCTGTCGGCATGCTTCAGTACACTAGAAGTTGACGGAGAGACTGGGCTCTCTGAAGCCGCGGCAGCAGTCGAGGCGAGGCGACGAATACTACAAGTAGCAGCAGTGGTGCGCTCAAGGACTTTGGCACCGTGAGCAAGCTGGGCAACAGTCATGCAAACAAAGGCAAACAAGGGTTGTTATTGTTCTTGTTGTTAGTGACTAACTTTCGTAGCGAGACAGAAGCAGTAGAAGGGAGATCTCACTCCTTTGACTATCGTCCATGCGACGGCAGCACTCCACATACCAGCTGGCGCGAGAGCATCATTAGGGCGAGTTGATCTAGCTGACGACAAGCAAAGTATGTAAGTGTAAGAAAAAAAATTGGTCACAGATTGCGAAGAAGGAGAACAGCAGGTCGGCTAGCTCCCCGTAGAAGGGACATTGGACAGGCTTTATGACTATTCGTCGTGGTCCGTTGCCGCCCTGTCGCTGTTGTCAATGCTCCTCGCATTTCGCCGAAACACCCTATGACTAACCAGCTAATAAGATTGAGGCTATCATATACATGACCTTGGAAGCAAAAAAAAAAAAAAGAAGGGGGACAATGGGGGGGATGGTGATAGAATAGAATAGGATGCAGTCGGAGGACACACAGTCAGAGACAGAAGAGATAGAGGGGAGTAGAGGTGAGTGAGTGGGTGGACGGGTGGGTGAGGGCCTGTTTATGAGTCAATGACATCTTTTAACGAGCGCTGTAGAATCCGAACATCCCGATCGACCCAGGATGTAATACGTAATGCATGGGCAGCAAGCGGGGCAAGAGAATCAGCAGTAAAAGTGACTCGGCCCGGATGTGTATCTGGATGCAGTGGTGGAATGTCAGCAAAGTCAAACTGGTCGTCATCAACCGATGATAATAACTTTGAGTTAATATCGGTCAGATGAGCCGGAATGGCGACGTCAGGTGTGAGAGATGGTGGCGGCGTGGATGCAAGGGTTGGATCACGGGCATAAGGCGCCAGCAGAGATGGCATTGTCTCCGGTGTATGATCAATATTGGTGGCATTGATGAGATTGACAAGGCGATCTGCTTCAGCCCAATCCTTACGCAGGTTCTCACGGAGTAGCTGCACACTTGACCGAGACTCTGGCCGACCATTCGATTGTCCATTAAGTTTCTGGTTAGTCGTTGCTGAACACGTCAACAGTCTCTGAACTGTTGGGCGAAGCTGCGAAAGCCTATCTGCTGATTCACGCAATGTTGCCAATAGCTCCAGCTGGCCACCAACGGCTTCCTGCTTCACTGCAATTGATGTTGGAATGATTAGTGAAACTGGAACTGGAGCTGGAGCTGGAGCTGGACTAGATTCTTCAGGTACTGTGCTTGGCACAATTGGCTGCCATTCAAAATCATCATCCCATCGCTCCGATACAACTCGTCTATCTTCTTCATCGCGTGGCTTGAGTCCCCAAGATAACCGCCCTGCACCTCTACGAGCTCGCTCATATGCACGATTATTCACATCTGAAGTTCTTGACGTCGATGTCACTGCCGGTCGCGGTGTTACCCCCGCGCTGTTGTTGGACGTTGCAAATTCGGAGGCCAAATCGTCCAGTGTTACTGGATACAGTTCGGCTTTGCCTGGCTTCTGTCGCATCAATGGCAATCCATCAGGTCCGAGAACAATAGGTGCAACCATCGAATGTCTCTTTGATGCGTCCTTTGGTTTCGGTGGCAACAACAATGGCTCAGAATCATCATTACTGCTCGAACCATCCGCAAACCCTTTAAACAGTCGCTGTCGTGATGGTTCT